GATACAGATACAGATACAGATACAGATACAGATACAGATACAGAGGGGGGGGCAAGGGTGGAATCAGAGAATAATTTGATCAAAGGCTGTGAAGGGCAAAAGATTAACTTTGAGAAACAGGAGGAAGAGCTGGAACCAACACAACAATCAGATAAATGAAATCTGAGTCCAGGGTAGATCTGTAACCAGAGAAAGTGTCTCAGACAAGAACCTCCCTAGTTCTCGTGAAGATAAAGGGAGGGAGGGGGGAAGCACATTCAGACTTGCACGATTCTGTTACTATAACTTTATAATAAAAGTAGTCTTAGCGCTCATAACTTTGGTTTCCTAGTCTGGTCCACCTTGGAGAGCTGACAAGGACTTCCCCAACTCAGGACAGTCATATTTACATCAACTTTCTCCAATCCAATACCCCTCCGATCCAATCCATCAACTTTCTCCAATCCAATAGTTGGAACTACAGCTCCCAAAATACCCATAATATCCAACCTTGCCTGCACTGAAAGAGATCAGCCCCTGAGGCTTCCAAGCATCCTTTCCCATGTGCCCCAACATCCCTCCCAGAACTCTTTTGTTGTTATGTCCCCATGATGTTGCCTTCATCTCACTGAGGTTCAAGCCACCCTTAGCTACCGTGATATTAAAGGAGCCCTTTCTCTCTTCTTCCAACAACGCTCAAGGGCCCGCTCAAGCTGTCTACAATCTATGCGGCTTTCTCACCTTTTGCCTCCAGAAGCCAAGCAGGACTAAGCAACCTGAATCAGAAGCAAAAGCAGGAGAGGAATCGGCTATCGGAACAGGGAACAACCACTGTCATGCCGGTGTATTTTTCTTTCCACCGACTCAAGGATGGGTGGAGAGCAATTGGACTCAGCAACAAAGAAAAGCCTCAAAGAAGCATCAAAGCAGCCCCGAAGCTCAGCTTCCCAAACACAACAGCTGCTGAAGGGGGCAGGAAGGAGACAGAGAGGGAGAGATCGGATTTAAGAGCTTCTGGAGATTTCACAGAGGCACAGCATCAAAGGAACCTTGAAGTCTGGGCCACAGTAGATGAAAAAATGCCTTGAGTGGGCATGCTGTGATATGCCAGGAGGGTGTGGGACAAAAGAGTGAAGGGGGGATCCAGCCCGGATTAATCTGCCAGGCATTTGAAGAATTCTTCTGCACGTCACCCATAATCTAGGGCAGAAGAGTGGTGTAGAAAATTAGACAGAAAATTAGAAGCCCTCGGGTGTATTTCGGTTTTTCAGTAAACCTAGAAACACATCTCCTGGCTTTGGATCACACAACACCCTCGATTAGGCAAAAAAATGGGGTGAAGTGGTTGTGGACAACATGTTGGACAAACCCAGCCTGTTGTAGGAACCAGACCATCAGAGTGACAGAGATGATTTAGAAGTTATGCAAATATAGCGATTATCTTTTGTTAAATGAGTTTTTGCATATTCCATGAAGCTATATACAGTAGCGTGTTCAAACAATATGGTTTACATCTCTGTATTTATTGCCTAAGCCATAAGGGAGATTCACCAAACACAAAACAAACCCAGTTACGGCTTACTCTATTGAATGAACTCAGCTGAATAGTCTCAAAGGAATACCAGTGTTTCTCAAGCTTGGCAACTTTCAGGTGTCTGGACTTCAACTCCCAGAATTCCCCAGCCAGCATGCTGGCAAAGAAAGATCTTCCATAGAAAAGTTTGGCTCTGCCGCTGCGTAATTGGGACAAACATCAACCCCATTATTAAAATCATGATGTTAATTTTAATATGTAATGTTAACACATTTTAGTATTTTTTTCAGTAACAATTGCCACAGCACCCTGTCCCTAAGATGCTTTCTACTATTTATTGATGTGTATCATTTTGAAACTTTAGGATAATTGAGCAATTTTTGGATATATTTTTGTAGAAATGCAGAAAAGAAATACAGTAAAACTTGGTAAACTTCCAGATTGGATCTGGCACCTCCAGCTTCATATACAAGTGACAATGGAGAAGAAAAATCTGTTTGGAATGGGGGGCAGAGGGCAGGGAAGGGAAAGGCATTTGCAGCTTGGAGGTAAACAGAAGGCTGTTGATATCAACCTACCCTATTTTTTACTTGTAAAATGTATACCTTGCCTTCCCCACTTAAGGAGATGTTTTTAACCCCACAACTGTGCAAGGATGATTGGGCTGTTTCACTATCATTGGATCACTGGACAAACTTCCATGGTTTAGCGTGGACATAAATATGGGTCTTGCCAACCCAAGTCCAAAACTTCAACTGCTTTGCGCCCTGGCCCTCAGTTACTTCCCTTCTTTGCACCCTCTAGATATGTGGGCTACAACTGCCATGATGTCTAGCCAAAGTGCCCTTTGACTAGAGGAAATATGAGGAAAGATCAACTGCAGACCCAAGATATAAATGGTATTTCTTTACTGTTGTATATGAAAGAACCTTCCTATGGATCAGTCTTGACCGCTGGGCCATCATTGGGCCCTAAGAAAGCAATTATTCTCAGTCAGATTCAAAATCTGTTCACCAGTTGCCATGACACCTAAGCCGGTCCAACTGTTTGCGAAGTTGGTTGCTCATGGTCCAGCCGGGGTTAGGTGGTGGCAGAAGGCACCTCTGTATCTCTCCTGCCAGCAGTTCTTGGATGTACCAGCTTCTGCATCTGTCTGGCTCCTTCAACCAGCTCAGAACCTGGGCAGTTAAGGGACAGTCTTGAATTAGGGTTGGCCTTTTAGCCACAAACAGTTTTCAGAGGAAAACCAAAACACCTGGATTAAATGCACTCTTTCCACATTTAGAGAAGGATCACTTTCCACTAGAACCTGTTTTCTCAGTTGTACGACAGACCAGATCATAAACGAACCCAAAGATTTGGGTTCACACAACACCTTAAGATATTAAAGAATCAAGCCTAAGCAAGCTTAGCATGTGGAAATGTAACTGCTAGGTTTATAACTGGTTAAGTGTGTTGTGAGAGCACAACTACCACACATATAATAATTCTTCCCTCCTCTCACATTAAAACTTCGTTTAGTGGCCACATCTATGGCTTCTGGAGATACGTCTCCAGTTGTGCATCACTTGGGTTAGAGATCAGACAAGAGTCCATCACAAATTTTATCAGTTGCCAGGGACAAGTGTTTTATTTTTAAAGAGTCTATCATGATCTTTCTCCAGCATTAGGTTTATAAAAAACAGTGATAACGGAAAACAGGATCAAAATGCACCAACAGGTTAAGCAGGTGTTGACACAATCCACACAAATCATCAGGAGGTCACAACAAGCGCCAACCCCCCCCCCCTAAGAAATACATGAATCAAC